TCTGATGTCAGAAAGATACAGAGCCCTCGATCTATCTTATCCATGTATCAAGCTCATTAACCCTGAAAACTGGTTAACTTTAACTGTTAACTTGATACAACATAGAACCACCAGAAGAGAGTTTTGGTGAGGAATTGTTGGTCTGTGGGCATGTTTTGGGGGGATTGTCTTGACTGATAACTGAAGTGGAAGGACCCAGTCTGAACGGGGTGGGGTTGCCATTCCATGATCAGGCCCTTGACTATGTAAGGGGGTGAGCAGGTGTCTTAGTAGAGAGAGTAAGTAGGGACGGCTGTACTACTTGACCTTGGATGTGATGTAACTTGCAGCTTGAGTTCCTTAGCCTCGTCTTCCCCAAAATGATGGACCGTAACCTGGAATTGCAAACCAAATAAATCCCTTCCTCCCTTATGTCGCTTTTGGTGGGTGTTTCATCAATGCAATCATGACATTTATACATTTTTAATTTGTTTTCTTTTTTCTGAGATAAGGTCTTGCTTTGTAGCCTTGGCTGGAACTCACTGTATAGACCATGCTGGCTTTGAACTCATAGAGATCTGTTTTCCTCTGACTCTGCAGTGCTGGGATTAAAGGTGTACACCACTACACCTGGCACCCTATAGCATTAATAATAATTGCCCACCTTTACCCTTCTGACTTAATACAACTCTGTCATATATTAAATCTCATGTTAAAGAGCAGTATCATACATTGATATACATACATTGAAACTTTGCTATTGTGTTTCTTGTACCTGTCTTTCAGTGCCATGTTGTTCTAATTATTTTAGCTTTGTAATATATTTTTATGTCTTCAAAGTCAGTACCATCCCCTATTTCATCTTTTGCAGTGATGCCTTTGATGATTTTTAATTGCTTGTTTCTTGAATGTAATTGTGAGTTTCATAACCATGTGTGAAGTTGGCAAAATAATTACTTAAGATTTTTATTTAGAACTATGGTTATACTAATGAATTAATTTAAGTGTTTCTGAAGTTTTATAAAATACTTATTTCAGTTTAAAAGCAGAATGTGTCTCTCCATCTACTCAATTTTGTGCATTTTTTAAACATCATACATTTTTTATAATGTTTATTCTGAGACAGATTTTTGTTAAAATTGCAAATGGGGTCTTAAAGTATATTTTATTACTAGTATTAGTAAATGGCTCTGTGTCTTTTGGTATCAGGTCACTTTACTTTTTTATTAGTTTGATTATTTTCAGAGTTTCTGTAAAGGGATTTTCATATAGATAATTATGTTATATGGGGGAGAAAAGGAAAAAGTGGAAGGTTCAGTGGCCTTATTTCTTCTTTTACTGTACTTATACCTTGTCTTTTGATTGTTTTTCCCTTATTGCCTAGCTAAGACCAGTTCTGGGATGCGCCAAACACACAGGCTCCACCTTCTGGAGTTCCACTGGGACCACACACACTCCTGTGTTCTCATCTTTTTAATCTTTCCTTGCTGAGTCTTTGGAGACTTGTTTGAGTTTTATCTTTGGATTCTCAGATTTTGTTTCCTTAGGGTCTACCGTGGTTGATTGTTTCTTTATATTTTAACACTCTGCGGTCAGTGTTTTTATCTTTGTCCTGCCTTCAGAAAGTGAAGATGGTCCCCAGTGCCACAACCACGGTATCTGTGGACCCACATCTCCCCAGTGCCACACTGGCCCATCTCCATCCTCTTAGGCTCCACAACTCTGTGGATCCCTGGATTCTCTCCTAACGCCCCCTCAGCTCTCTTGTCTCCACACTCCTTTGAGTTCCTGGGTTCTTCCTTGGTTCTGCACATGTTGTCTCTAGATGGTCTTTGAGATCCCCAGATAGGTGCTAATTTTCCAAGTCTTGGGAAATACATGAAATGGCTGTCTCTACCTGTTTGTTCCAACTCCTCACTTACTAGCTATACTGGCTGGTTTTATGTGTCAACTGGATGCAAGCTAGAGTCATCAGAGAGGAAGGAGACTCAGTTGAGGAAATGCATTTTCTCAGTCAGCGACCAGTGAGGAAGAGCCCAGCCCATGGTGGGTGGTACCCTCCCTGAGCTGGTTGTCCTGAGTTCTATAAGAAAGTAGGCTGAGCAAGCCAATAAGCAGCTCTCTTCCTTGGCCTCTGCATCAGCTCCTGCCTCCAGGTTCCAGTCCTGCTTGAGTTCCTGTCCTGACTTCCTTCCAGTGATGGAGTATAATCAGGAAGTGTAAGTCAAATAAACCCTTTCCTCCCCAACATGCTTGCTGGTCATGGTGGGTTTGTTTGTTCATTTGTTTGTTTTTCTTTCAGGAATGGAAACCCTAACTGAGATATTGTCTTCCAGCTCACTGTGGCACAATCTGCCCAGGAGAGAATTACAGACTCACTCTGGACCACTCCCTCTCTAAGAAGCCCCATGTCTTTGCACACATCATTTGCTTTACCTAGAGAGATTCTTCTGACCCTTCACTTGTTCGTCCTTTGAGATCAAGCTCAAACCTGTATTCCTAAGGTAGACAAGTTTAGGCCATCCTCTTCTGCATTCCCGAAGCTTCATGGATTCTCCTCTACTGGAATGCTTGGAACACTGTAGAGCTGCTATGTGTGTATCCAGGCCACGAGGAAGGCCAAGCTGCCTGTACCCCTCTCCCACCATTACTCTCTTGCTCCCTTCTTCCAGTAGATTAGTCTAAGTCTCCATCCAAGTTAAGCCTAATTACCAGTTATCTACTTGCCAGTGTAGAATAGAATTCCATTCTTCTCCCTAACCCCAGATAACCCATTATCCCTCCATCTAATAATCTTACCTCTAAATCCCAAGGGCCATGGACAATGAGAAGACAGCACCAGGTCCTCACTGTTGCACCTTCCACTTCTCCTGCATTTGTCCCGGAACTTATCAAAGACCTAGTTTCCAGTTTTGTTCTGCATCCTCTGTCTTAGCAGAGACTTGGCTTTTACAGTGATCCCCTTTCTTCTCTCGGCCATCTATATCCCCTTTTCTACTAGATAATCCCAACCAGTTTACAAGCATCAAGCATTGCCGGGGTATCATCCATCAAAAAAGAGAACATCTCTCGATTTCCCTCTTCCTAGTGACAGCCACTCCATGTCTCAACTGTTCTCCATGCCATCTTTAACAGCATCTCTAATTCCTCATGACCCATCTCTTCTCAGCCCCTCCCACTCCTTCAACTCCACCCAAATAGGCCTTAGAAAGACAGCAGGAATCTCTAAGTTGTCAACTCATTCTATCATACCTGAGTTCACATCTTGTTCTTCTAGAAGCATTTGATGTGATGTGAGTACCTCCTTTACTTTGTGGTGGTATTCATTCATTCATTCATTCATTTGTTGCATATGTACGTGTCTGCATGCATGTGTGTGTGTGTGTATGTGTGTGTGTGTATGTGTGTGTTTGAGATATACTTCCTATTTCGCTAAGGATGCCCTTGAACTTCTGATTCCTCTGTCTTCATCTCTTGGCCAGTGGGATTGTAGACATGTACACCATGCCTGCTTTATGTGAGGCTTCCTGCGTGCTGGGCAAGCACTCTACCAAATGTTCCACCTTTCCTTTCTGGAACACACCTGTCCTCCAGGTCTACCTACCTCCTTGGCCTCTGTCTCCTTTACCAGTTTCCGCCTTCTTCTCAGTGTTAGCATGTTCAGAGCTCAGTCATGAGCCCTCTTTTCTCCTCTGTGTACACTCTCTGATTATGTTACAGGTTCCAAGTCTGTGGCTCACCTGTGTATATATTCATCTGGCTCTACATTATCCCCGACCTCAGGATTCTGATGTGCAGACTTAGATTGTCTTCTAGCCCACCTTTCAAGCTTACCAGATCTGAAACAAAAAGCCAACGTTCTCCCTTCTTTCCTCCTAATCTCCATAGTGTTCATCAACCCAGTTGCTGGCCAAGCATTGTGGGCCACACCTATAATCCCAACACTCAGTAGCAAGAGCAGGAGGAATGTGAGTTCAAAGCCAGCTTGGGCTGCAAAGCAAGACCCTGTCTCAAAGATAGAACAAAACAAATAAAATGGCCAGGTACTCAACCCAAAATAAAAATGAGACATTACACCCTCCCCTCTGCCCTCCTACCCAATCCATTAGCCAGGCCTGTTACGTCTATCTGAAAATGCTTCTCTAAGCTACTTGTTGGTTTCCGGTTCCATCTTCACCATAGTCATCTAACATATCACCATCCTTTCCCAGCCTCCTGTTGCCTCTTAAAATCTCCTGCTTACCACTCACTCTCTCCCGGCAGCCCACATGATCTTCCAATAAAGTAAAGCAAGGTATAAGCACTGTCTGAGTGATCCTGCTATACTTAGAGTCATATTTCACTCCTAACCCATGCCTAGAAAACCCCTGTGTCTCCCCACTGCCACCTTCTACTCAATATTTCCCCTCCTCCCCTCCTGCACTGCCTTGACCTCAGCTCACCCCATTGCATCTTCAACAGCGCACTGGTCACAACTGAGCATGTCCTTTCCTATGTGTTCATTCTTATTACCCACACTTTCCTGGGCACGTGATTCTTTCTGTGCCGTGTTCCAATAGCTGGAGCAGTTTCCAGCACACAGGTGTTCAGCGAGTGTTTGCTGAAGGGATGACCATTATACCCTGGTGAGGAGCGAGCACTCACTGATTGGTTGGGTGAAGAAGTGTACTGGAAGCTCCTGGAGGGCAAACAGCCTGCTGTCAGGCTTTTACTGGTTCCTCCATGGTACCTGGCATGGAGCCATGGACTCTCGTCCCCCAGGAACTTAGTAAAATCTTGTTGGCTCTATTTCTTCATCAAGGTCAAGAGTCCTTGCAATTATTTTGTAGACTTCATGTTTATTTCTGAGAATAAATGTGTAACATGAGGGAAATGCCATGAGAATAGGAACAAAGCAGGGGGGACGTTGTGGGCACCTGCCGCATGCTCAGCTGGAAGGCAGGTAGAGTCTCTGCCTTTGGTATTCCCCCACCGAGTGCCAGCCACGATGCTACATTACTTCTTGATGCCATGTCTTACAGGGTACACAATATCTGCTGGTGATGGTGGATCCAGATGCCCCCAGCAGGAACGACAACAGGGCCAAATACTGGAGACACTGGGTGGTGTCCAACATCAAAGTAAGGAGACCAATGGGTGTTTTCAGAACTGTTTTGAACTGTAGGTGAGGTCACCATCCTGTAAGGTTTCTTAGCACTCATCTGGGAGGGCTGGGGATGAGGGTGAGTGAGGCCTTCTGGGTCAGATGTCCGAGTTTCCTAAGGACATCAAAAAGCACATCTAAACGTGAGCCGTGATGGGCCAGAGAACAAGATCTCAGGACAGGAGTAGCAGAAGATGACAGTTGTGTGCATCTGCTGCTCTTTATGATAGACGTCGCCTCTCTGATACCAAGTTCAAGGTATTAAAGACTGAGGAACTGATTCGCAAAACTTCTAGAAGTCTAAGAGGTGGTACAGTCACATCACTGTGGGTTTGGTGTGTGGGTGGGGGGTTCCCAGTTTGGTTGGCAGTGTGTGGAGGATCATGTGATGGGCCTTCCTCCTGCTGTATGGGGGGCCGAGAGGATGCAGGGAGAGCTCTCTTCTTTATACAGAAATATAGCTGCTTGCTAATTGGTTTTGTGATATCTGGGGAGGAGGCTTACGTGCCTTTTTCAGGAGTATGTCTGAGGAATGCTCTAAATCAACACAAGTGTTAGTTCTTCCAGCTTGAACTGGTTTGATCTCGTGTCTCATGAAGTGGCCTTTTAAAGATGTTGCTATCTTAATAAACATCCCAGTCACCCTTCAGTACCCTCAGGAAACCCTCATGAGTCTGTTATATATCCTCTAAAGCGTCTCTAGCTGATTATCATACCCAATACAATGTAAACACTGCATAGATAGCTTGTTGTACCGTATTGTATAGGGAATTGATGATGGAGAAAAAAAATACCTGCACTTTGTCACAGGTGTAATCCTCTATTTGTCTTTTTCAGTCTACTTTTGGTTAAATTTGAGGGTGTGGAACCCACAAAGAACAGAGGCCCAAGTGTATGTAACTCACAGTTGTTTCCCAATCCTGCTGTATTATGGACTCACCTGTACATGGAGAAATCCACCCTAGCCTGTAGCCTTTGGGATCTGTGCCCAGACAACCTACAAGTGACTTTTTGCAAAGGATGTGCAGGGGCCTCTGCCTTGTAAGATATTGGAAACTAGCAGAATGAAGTTTGAATGTGCTGTGCTTTAAGAGCTGGTCCCCAGCTCAGAGACCAGACACTCCCTATTGCACATAGAGTTTCCATGTGAACCAAACTCTTGACTTTCATGGTCATCCTGATGATCCCAAGAAGAACACCCTAGAAACTGTAGAGAAAACCACAGCTGCAAAGGCTGGTGTCTTGAAAGCTAGACCCACAGGCGGAAGCAGGGACACCAGTTTGAGTAGCCGTTGACTCCTGACAAGGGAAGACTCTCACACCAGAGTGGGTAGAGAAGGAAGAGTTACCCTGACAACCAAGCCGTGTCCCAGCACCAGGACCCTTCCTAGGAAGTTCAGGCAGGACAGCCCTCCTTAGAAACAGTCTCGTTATAGCCCAGTGACCTGCTGGAGAACTTAGCGATTAGCACAGAGGCAGTGTTGAGGGAGGGTCTTGTGTGGCAGGGGTGGCAGTAGAGGGCACAGAAAACGGGCAGTTTGTCAGATTGGCTTCCATCTAGCACACTGTTGTTGTTTTCCAGACTGTACGTTCATGGGGTGGAAGCTCAAGAAAGGAGTTTCCCAGGTCATGCTCATAGACGCCCCCCCACACACACACATACACAGGGCTCCCTCTGAGAGGGTTCCAGTCGGGATTCTCAGGCGGGAGGGAAAAGCCCTGTGAGCAGAATGGTTTCCCAGGTAAGGAGTCCTGGGACTGTGGCGGGGCCTCCAGCGATGTCTGACACCCCACCCCACCCACTCCCATCACCCTGATACTCACTCAGGACATATCCCACACACCAGATCTGTGCTATTAACAAAGGTTTGGCACCAGAAGCCCTGCTCAGAGACACAGCAGGTGGCAGGTGACAGGTGGCAGCTGTCAGGCAAGCCTGATAAGCCACAGAGCTTAACCAAAGCCACCTGCCAGGGCATGGCCCTCACTTCCCGTTTGCCCAGAGGAGGCTCAGGTTTCAGTCACATTGCCACCCACTTTCCCTCTTCTGGGTGCCCAGCAGGAAGCTGCGGCTTTCCCTGATGGAGTTACTTGGCCCTGCCACCTGCCTCCATGTTCTGCTAGCCAGAAAGATGGCTTTAGCCAAGTGGGTTCAGGTCTCAGATCCTGGAGCTCTGTTAAAGGAAGAAGAGTGGAGAGTGGGGTTTCTGACCAAGCCTAGGAGCTCATCCTCTAACTTGGAGTTCACACAGAAGGCCAGGCTGATACCATGAAGAAATGTAAATTCTTGAGTCCACCTCTCCATAGAACTCCACAAACCTGGGTGGGGAGGGGCCCATTACCTGGCAACTGGCTCATCTCTGGGTACCCAGGAAGTTCATGGGGCCAGAGGCAGCCCCGTTATGGCCCTGATGAAGTCTTGGGTAGTGGTCAAATCAGCCTCCAAGGTGCGGCTCAGTTCCCCGGCCATGCTGTGGAAGAGCTTTGCAGACACACAAGTAACATAGCTTCCGCCTTGACCAGCTCTCAGGTGGGGGAGGCTGCAGTGCTCAGGCCTGGGATGGTGATGGGTGTCATCTATTTGTGGGACTGTTTTATTTATTTCCTTTTTAACTACTATTTTTCATGTGCATCAGTGTTTTGCCAGCAGATATGTTTGTGTGAGGGTGTCAGGTCCCCTGGAACTGGAGTTACAGACAGTTGTGAGCCACTATGACTTGAACTCTGGTCCTCTGGAAGAGCAGTCAGTGCTCCTAACTGCTAAGCCATCTCTCCAGACCATGAGGCTGTTTTCAAATAAAAGCATTTTGGAAACTGTTGAAACCTCAATCATTGTGTGAGCTAGCATTGCCCCCATTAAATGAGGGGAAGCAGGGGCTAAGGAGGTTCAATGACAGCCTCCACTCGCAGTAGTAGTAGACTGTAGCTAGTTATGTATGTACCAGACTCTAAACTATTCATACCGTGCTACACCGTTGTGGGGTCCCACGATGTTCATCAGTCCCATTATGTCTAGGGAGCACACCTCTGTAAGATGAGAACAATCTCCACCCCATTCCTATGACTCCAGCTCACTCCTGGATGGGTAGAGGTTTCCAGGGCACACTGCCCAGGGAATGCTACCTTGGCATAATAACTGCATACCTGATCTGTGTTTTAGACCCCATAAAACCACACCCCACGCATCACCATTACTGAAACACCCTCACCAGTAAGCCATGTAGTAATGTCACTGCAAACAGAATAACAATGGTCCTGTGACTCCCAATGGACAGAGGGAGGGAGAGGGAGAGGGAGAGGGAGAGGGAGAGGGAGAGGGAGAGGGAGAGGGAGAGGGAGACTCAGAGGAACTTAAGGTAGCCTTGGGATCAGGCAGCCAGATATAACTAGACATCAGACCAAGGTATGGCCACAGAATCCCTTCAGTGGAGATACTGTTTTGAAAGGCTATCCAGACAAGAACAAGAACATGGGGGAGCATCTGTAGCCACCCTCCCTCCACTCCATCCTAAAGACTGTCTCGCAGGGCCCAGATAGAATAGGATAAAGTTCTAGACATGTGGGCATCTTAGATAAAGAGTAGGAGGTAGAAAGAGGCCCAGAAATAGGACCAGTCCTGATGTAATGGTTAAGAGCAAGGACTCTGAACTCAGACTGCTCTGGTTCAAATCCCATACCCACCATTAGTGGCTGTATGATCCTGGGCTAGTTGCTCAGCTTCCTTGGGTCTCAGTGTAGTTATCTGTAAAGTTGAAATATTTATAGCCTGTGCCTCACACTGTTAAAGTGATGTTTGTCTATGTTATCTCAGGTAAAATGCTTAGAGAAAAAGCACATAGCACATAGCTGGCTTTAAACAGTTTGCTATCACCATTGCTGCAAGCCAAGTACCTCTTGAGCTCTAGAGTCACAAATGCAAATAAAATCCAGGATAGTGATGTCTTACGCAGGGGAGGTATTGTGAGGGTCCAGGGGCAGGCTTGGGTAGAACTTCCTTTACCTGTCAGTTCCCATCAGCCCCTCTCCCACACAACTTCGCCATGCTAGGGAATGCAGGGATGCAGACATAACACACAGGTGCTCCTTGACCCCTCTCTGAAACTCCCTTGGTGAGCGGAAGTAGATTTCTAATCCAAGCTGGACATGGTGACACACACCTGTGACCAGCACTCCAGAAGCAGAAGCAGGAGGACCTGGAGTTCTAGGCTAGCTTGGCCTGTGCACTGAGATGCCACATTGAAACAAAGGACTGCTGATTCCTAGCATCACACAGTGGGATAGCATCCTCCTCCCCGTGCCATGTCCTCAGGTTTCTTTACAGATGCTTTTCAGTTCTGCTGAGGCCCAATTGAGATATCAATTAGTCTGCATCGTTCACTCCAGGAGAAGAGTTTATTGGCTCCTTGTCTTATTTGTCTCTGAAATTAGCGCTCAGAGCTTTCATGCAGATATTTTCATTAGGCTCTTTTTTATTGTTAATGGGAATATTAAACACAGGAAGATGGTACATGAATACTTTCCCACAAAGACTATCATGACTGGTGACAAAGAATACGAAGAATAATTAAGGAGACAAGAGTACCTTTTTTTCTTCCAAAAAAGAAAATCTTCCTAGAAACCGTCAATGATTCTAAAATTTGTCCTGAATGTCTTTTTTTTTTTGTTTTAAAAAAGAAAAGGAGCCGCCAAGTTCACACTTCCTCTTTCATTCAATGTCCTCAACCTTTGGCAGCCATAAATGGAAACCAATTCTGGGTTGAATCAAAAGGAGCTCTAAGGGGTCATTATTCTGTCTACTTTCCTATAGGGTTGAATTTTTCTGTAATAAAAGGTTGTGTGTGTGTGTGTGTGTGTGTGTGTGTGTGTGTGTGTGTGTGAATGTGTGTGTATGTGTGTGTGTGTATGTGTGTGTGTCTTTAAATGACCTCTAAGTATATTAGGTGAATAAGAGGAATATAAAACCCAACAAACAGAGAA